TTTTTTAAACATATTGTGCCGCCAAAAGTTAAGCCCACGTTTTTTTTTATGCGCATAGAAAAATTTTCATTTCAAGTGATATTTGAAAGCCAAAAAGCCAAAAATCTCCGTGGATATACGATTCACCCAAATATGGCTTTTTGAAACAGATACCGTCTGGACTAATTTGTTTATTTCAGTTTGCTGAAAAATAGTTTGATGAACCTACCTGATTAACTGTCTTTCACCGTGCAAACTGCCGCTTAGTTGCCCTACCTTGTCGCCTTTCCTCCAGTTATATATTATTAGTTCAAAATTTGGAAGGTTGCCGACTGCTACCAAAAGAGAAGTTTCTGTGAATGCGATGTTGGTATAACCTTCAGCAGGACCGCCTAAATAACATCATATCAGCAGCTTCGTGAATTTTGTTTAATAAAATCTACCATTAATCAAGTCACATGTATGTGTTCATTAGTTTTGATATCCTAAAGAACTCTGTCTCAAAATGTTTACAAATAACTTTGTAAAATAAAAATTAGAAATTGTATTTTATATCAGCATAGCCAGAAGTCGTCTTTTAGGTTTTTAAGTACGGTCACTGGTTTGGTTGCTATCTTACCTGGAATTTTAACTATTGTTTTAAGTGCAGGATAGTTTTTAATGTACAGGGAAGGATATCTGCAATTCTCTGCGTAACAGAATACATAAAGACTCCTGTGCCCTTCGAGAATACCAACTCCATCACCATTGACGCTAGGAAAATTTACATCTAGCATCAGTTCGTCGTTGGTGTGAATATTGAGGAATTTTATAAAGCATCCAGTTGCGTAGCAGATGACATCCTTGGAGATGAAGCTGAAGTGCTGAATAGCACCTATTTTAGCCCATCTGAAATTGTGAAATGAGTCCTAATGGCCATATCAGTGATAATGATAATAATAGTAATAATAACGATAATGATAATGGTTCCCACTGAACGTGATTGACTCACGACTCCCTCATTTTAAAGGCCACGTGACAGAAACAGCCAATCACATTCTGAATCACCCTGTATAAATAGCGTGAAGAGGAATAAAGACTAAAAATACAAGCGAAAAAGTTATTAAAATGAATTTAAAACAATCTTTAATGAAAAAGTATAAAATACTACGATTGACAGGACTAGAAGAGAATATAGCATATACCTATAGATCAGTTTAAAAATGACATGGCAACAAAAATAACTGTCTTTGATGACAGTAAAATATTTAGCTCGTTTTTTACGAATGAATATATAATCTGATATTTAATTTACGTTGCTCTAATTACAGGTTAGAACATTTTTGCAAGTTTAATTTAATCTGTTTCTACAAATAGAAGTAATGAACAGTTAGGAATGAAAAACTTACTCAATAGTGTTATCTGTAGCCCTCATGTCACTAGAGCTGGAAGCAGGTTATTTACTTGGGTTACTAGGAGACAGAACTAAATTGATTGGTGAAGAGTGTAGGTATATGTGGAATAAAGTTGAAATTGATTTTTGCTCGAATAGATGCTCAAAGTTAAATGTTTACGTAAATCGCAGATAGGTTATACATATAGAGGTAATATATTTATACAAATATTTTTATAGAGAATTGTCGTGATGTTCCTGCAAATATGTTGAAAACATGTTGTTTTCTTCTTCAAACGTATAATAATACTTATATTATATAGTGCAACACCTCCTTTAGAAGCAGCCTATTGTTTAACTAGTACAAATATTTTTCATTTTTTAACTAGTAAAAAAATGTAACAATGCGTAGGTAAGTATCCTAGCAACGAATTAAAGATTCAAGAAGCTTTGACGTTTCATTAAGTGTCAGTTGAAATTTGATGTCGCGTCGGGTCGTTTTTAAAATGTCTGAAGAAATGCAGTGCACACCACCAGAATTACTGGAAATTGCAAATACATCAGTGGCAACACTTATACCAACAAAGTCGAGAAAAATTTATGAAAATGCTTATGATAAATTCATAAATTGGGCAAAAGAAGATAATGCACATATTTATTCAGAAAATGTGATGATAGCATATTTTACAGGATTATCCAGAACACTGAAAAGTTCAACTTTATGGGCGCAATATTCAATGGTAAAATCTAAATTAAACATAGAACACAATGTAAATATTGAGAAATATTCAAAATTAATTACATTTTTGAAACGACAAGGTGAAAATTATAAACCAAAAAAGTCGAAAGTTTTGTCTAAAAAAGAATTTGACGAATTCCTGAATAAAGCACTTGATGATAAATATTTAGCAACCAAGGTATGTACTTTTTAAATTATAGGTAGATATATATATTTAACCTTTTTATATTTGTAATACAAAATTTTGTTATAATTTGTAAACTTCAAGTTATTTTATAGTATCCATTACGAGAATAATAAACAATTTTCGGAAATAAAGATAGCTCATTGGAAGAATGTTGTAAAAACTCATAAATATAGATGTCTTAAAATTACGTCATGTTTTAGAATTTCCTTGCATTTTCCAATTCTTTTTATTGTTACAAAATTAATAATTCTATATTTTTTAGGTTGCACTAATATTTGGAGTCACAGGAGCTTGTAGATGCGATGAACTCATTCAAGTAAAAGTTAATGATGTAAAAGATTTGGGATATATAATATTAGTAAATATTCCCAATACAAAAACTAAAAAACATCGTTCATTTACCATAATTGGAGAGTTTTATTTAAATTTATACAGAAAATATGCTACTCTTCGGCCAAAAGACATAACTTTTCATAGATTTTTTATTAAATATCAAAATGGCCATTGTCATCGTGTTGTAATGGGCATACATAAAATTTCAAAAGTGCCAAAAGATGTTGCATCATTTTTAAGGTTGCCAAATCCACATGAATATACGGGGCATTGCCTTAGAAATGAACCTCGGCAACTATCTTAGTTGATAATGGTGGAGACATTACAACCCTAAAGCGACATGGTGGACGGAAATCTACCAGCGTCGCTGAAGGATACATTGAAGATTCTGTAAACAATAAGAAACAGATAGCGATGAAAATATTAAACCCATTAGAGTATAATGAACCAAGTACATCAAGCGAAACTGTAAATATTGATCCTGAAAATAATTTAATCGAAGACTTTTCTGTTAATAATGGTACAATTGTTAACACTGAAACTGAGAACCTTATTACAAGTAACGTATTCAACGACAGAACTGTAAACTTTGAAAAAAAGACAGCCAGCAGCGCTTTAAATATCAACAACTGTACCATACAAAATTGCACATTTAATATTCATGTTAATAAATAAAGTTTGATGATAGACATGTAGGTAATTTAGATGTTTATTCGTTTAATTCAAATTAAAGAAAAATAATTGTTACATTTGTTTTTTTATTCATGAATAAAGTGGTTAAAACTGTCATGTTTAATTAATCAATAAAATGTATAAAATAAATAGTATTACCTACCTACTGATTTTATTTTGTGCTGAGATTGAACATCGCGTAATCCGCTATAAATTTTCAAAATTAGTAATTTTTTATATTCACGCTTGAAGAAAAAATAGTATATGTCACTCGGAGTGGAAGGCTCATTATGTGTTTTGCCCAATTTGCTCAGCCTCGGCTAACGCCTCGGCGAGCAAACTTTTGGGCTCAACACATAATGATCGCCTTCTACTTCTAGTAACATAATATACTATTTGTATATTTTATTACCTACTATTATAAACGCAAAAGATACATTCATCTATGTAATTGTTTGCCAATATTTGTGAAAAGAATAGCACTCCACTGATGATATTTAGTACCATGTTAGCATCCCATTAAATTTGTACATAATAATATAAATTTAAAACATAGTGAATTGTAGGATGGTCATTGAGACATTGTAATGTTGAATAATTGAAGGGAACGTGTTAGTTACAATAACAATTTTTACTTTATTTTAACAACAAATACCAGTATTAAACACATATTTTTCAATATCCTCGTACAGTTGTCAAACTCTACGATAATTCTATAACCTCAGATGTTGTCCCATTATCCTCGTTTTCAGGAACAGGCTTAGTGATTAAATTGCGATCAATAACTGGTTTCGTGTTCCCCTGAAAACATTGTTTAACCTCCAGTTTGAGGATTTTAAAGAAGCCAACTTTTAGTTTCTTGCTTTTTTTGTGAACGTGGATAAGAAGTTCCACTATTGCACTGACTACTGCCAGAGCTACGCCAAACAGAACAGTGTATATAAGGCCTAAAATGTTGTATATATGGAGAGGGCTGACTTCTTCAGGTTCTTCGCTCTAAATGAAGACAAAGCAATATGTTAAATGAATTCTCTATTATTCGTTAAATATCTACAGAGGGTAACATGCTCCTCCAGGAAACGGACGTGGAACATTATTTTTGATCAAAGGAGTCACTGACAGTATAGATTTAATTTAATATTTGGTACAGTTTCTTAGTAGGTAGTAGGAGTAGATGACAAATTTGAAAAAATTAAAAACTGAAAAAGTGGAGTAGAACCAGAAAATGTTTCAGGGGTTTTAACTATTAAAAGAAAATAGTTAACGAAAGTTGTGCTTTAAGAACCAGACGCACTTTTAATAGGGAGTAACTTTAGTGCATATTCACATTTATTTGAATATACGATGGTCAAATGAATAGATTCACACTTTCCTTAAATATAACGGGTGTAAATTAGAGTAAAATAGAGAACTTCTATGTTTTGCTGTCGATAAGCGTCCGACTTAGTAATAATTTTTGGACTCTTAACTGTACAAGTTACATTTGTAATGAATCAGTATTGATGTCATGTTTTGTGTAAGAGTCTCGCTATTTATTTATTTAATTAACTTAATTGGCAAGAGCAATTATTGTCCGCGAGTCGAGCTGAACCGTCCGTTCGCCCCACTCTGACGAGTGCTGCGCGCATAATCCCACCAAGACTCCTGGTCAGTTAAGGGGGGATTGAGGCAATAAAACAACCGTTCCTGGACGAAAACAGGCAGTTCAGATCCTGAACTCGAAGAGCTCCAGCTATAGACCTGAGGACCACCCCGAGGATCTGAAACCGACCCAGAGACCGCCATCCGAACCGAAGGAGTTAGCCACCAGGAGCAGCGACCCGGAATAAGTAAGCAAATTGTATTTCTCGATTTTTACTTGTCCTGTATTGGCATATGTCCTGCCGAGTTTTGAACTCTATTTGAACTAAGTGCTGAACGGTACGGCGGCGGCGTTATCAGGCGGAGGTTGACTGTGAAAATTAACATCGCCTTCGTTTTGAGGAACGTAGCTAGGGCACATTAACTGAAACCGCTGGTTGACTGTGCATAACATCGCCAGCGGAAGACGTTAAGTGCCAGCCGTACTGACGGATAGACCCAGGGAGTTGGCTGTGCATAACACCGCTTCCAGGAGAAATATGTCACCGGCCGCGCGTCCGAACGTGCACTCGAATAGACTTTGCCTCCTGTCAATCAAACTATTCCTGTTCCTGAATACCGTTTGCTTATTTATGACATTTGTGTATTGCTTGCTTCGCTTCTCCTTGGCTGGTATTAACTCCGCATAATTTCCGTTGCATTTGCTAGAAACCGCCGACGATATTTATTTGTAGAATTAGAGTAGCCCGTAATTTATTTTTCTTTGTTTCAGAGCCATTGGGAATCGGCATATTTGTTTACTACTCTGATTTGCTAACAGTCTTTTCCTTTCTAGCACCGACCGCAATTAAAACCGAATATCGTTGGCGTACCGTTTCCTAAAGTATTAGATTTTTTATTGTAAAAATAAACTAAACGCCTAATACTGCATTTGCCTACCGTACCGATTTTTGTGTCCTGAACACATATTTTGACTATCCTCTAATTTTATATTTATTTACAGCTTCGGAAAATTGAATAAGCATTTTTAATCCCGAGATATATAATTGCTCTAACCAATTTTATTTTATTCACACCGTTTGTAAATTATTTTTACATTTCTGATTTTAGTTGTTTATAAAAATTGTAATTAGCATCTGTTTTACTGTTGATTGTTTCAATTGCCGTAGGCCTTGTTAATATAGAATAAATCTAGTAAATATATTTCCAGTTGTCTTCATTCTTAACACCGATAAGATTGATAAATTCCGCTCAGTAAAAAGTCGCACTATCTTTTTGTGACCTACANCATGTAGGTAATTTAGATGTTTATTCGTTTAATTCAAATTAAAGAAAAATAATTGTTACATTTGTTTTTTTATTCATGAATAAAGTGGTTAAAACTGTCATGTTTAATTAATCAATATAATGTATAAAATAAATAGTATTATCTACCTACTGATTTTACTTTGTGCTGAGATTGAACATCGCGTAATCCGCTATAAATTTTCAAAATTAGTAATTTTTTATATTCACGCTTGAAGAAAAAATAGTATATGTCACTCGGAGTGGAAGGCTCATTATGTGTTTTGCCCAATTTGCTCAGCCACGGCTAACGCCTCGGCGAGCAAACTTTTGAGTTCAACACATAATGATCGCCTTCTACTTCTAGTAACATAATATACTATTTGTATATTTTATTACCTACTATTATAAACGCAAAAGATACATTCATCTATGTAATTGTTTGCCAATATTTGTGAAAAGAATAGCACTCCACTGATGATATTTATTACCATGTTAGCATCCCATTAAATTTGTACATAATAATATAAATTTAAAACATAGTGAATTGTAGGATGGTCATTGAGACATTGTAATGTTGAATAATTGAAGGGAACGTGTTAGTTACAATAACAATTTTTACTTTATTTTAACAACAAATACCAGTATTAAACACATATTTTTCAATATTCTCGTGCAGTTGTCAAACTCTACGATAATTCTATAACCTCAGATGTTGTCCCATTATCCTCGTTTTCAGGAACAGGCTTAGTGATTAAATTGCGATCAATAACTGGTTTCGTGTTCCCCTGAAAACATTGTTTAACCTCCAGTTTGAGGATTTTAAAGAAGCCAACTTTTAGTTTCTTGCTTTTTTTGTGAACGTGGATAAGAAGTTCCACTACTGCACTGACTACTGCCAGAGCTACGCCAAACAGAACAGTGTATATAAGGCCTAAAATGTTGTATATATGGAGAGGGCTGACTTCTTCAGGTTCTTCGCTCTAAATGAAGACAAAGCAATATGTTAAATGAATTCTCTATTATTCGTTAAATGTCTACAGAGGGTAACATGCTCCTCCAGGAAACGGACGTGAAGCATTATTTTTTATCAAAGGAGTCACTGACAGTATAGATTTAATTTAATATTTGGTACAGTTTCTTAGTAGGTAGTAGGACTAGATGACAAATTTGAAAAATTGAAAAACTGAAAAAATGGAGTAGGAACCAGAAAATGTTTTAGGTGTTTTAACTATTAAAAGAAAATAGTTAACGAAAGTTGTGCTTTAAGAACCAGACGCACTTTTAATAGGGAGTAACTTTAGTGCATATTCACATTTATTTGAATATACGATGGTCAAATGAATAGATTCACACTTTCCTTAAATATAACGGGTGTAAATTAGAGTAAAATAGAGAACTTCTATGTTTTGCTGTCGATAAGCGTCCGACTTAGTAAAAATTTTTGGACTCTTAACTGTACAAGTTACATTCTATGAAGAATCGCAAGAAGCACAAAAGTTTATTTGAAAAATTATTTATCCAAATCTGTAAAAGATAAGACCCTTAAGACCTCTTCTAACTCCCGCACCTTTGGTTAGTTTTTTTTTATAAAATTTCACACGGAAACCATTATAAGGACTGTAACTGTATCAGTTTTTAGTTCTACATCTTCAATAATTTTTGAATAATTGATCAAAAACTGAGTTTCATACCGAATATCAGAAGGATTGCAGAGCTTTGGGAATCTTTTTTTGAAAAATATTACTTTTATTTTGTTTCGACCAGAAAAAATCGGTCCTGAAAATTATTGACACTGTCGGTGTTACACCCTTCATCTTCCCTCTCTACCAAAGAGTTTAATAAATAAACCTTTTTAGTATCACCCAGTGATGAGAAAGAACTAATAGGATCTAAACTGAAATTGTTCATATGTGTACTTCAAGTCTGAGAAAAACATATCAAATTAGGTATATTTCTTCTTAACTTACCTGTACATCACAATTTCCATGTCTCCACCATTTTCTCTTCAGTTCCTCCAGTTTACCCATACTGATTATCCTTAAGATTGCCGTATTAAACGCAGTCAAGTAGGGGGAACCTGGAAACAACATGGAATTGGTAATCTTATATTTGACATATTTTTGTAACTCACCAGGCCTCATGGCGATACCAAACGAGTTTTGGTTAATAAGGCCGCCATATTTTGTTAGTAGACAGTTCCTTTGTGTTATATAATCGATTGTAGTTTCCTCACCGAAAAATGCATATCTGTCATTTAATGCCATTTGTACGCCATCCTCAATTGTTGACACCATTTCTTCGTCATTTTCAGTCATATGTTGGTATATTTCCTGGTACAAAGGGTCTGTAGATGACTAAAAATTTATTACGAATTGATTTGTAATAGTCGAAATCTAAATTTATTCAATAGTAATATACAGGATATAACTTTAAATTGGGTCAGTTTTTTTAGGGATATTAGTAGGTACGTGTTCCCCTTAATACGAATCTCATTTTTTTAATGAAATAAATAGTCGAGTTATAAACTGAACTTGAATTTTTACATTAGTGCACATCAGCGTTGCCAGTTGTTACCTTTTTAAATTAACTATTGGAGAGCGAGAATGGAAAACATTTTAGTAAAACAGATCGCTTTACCTAAATATTAATTAATATATATTGGTACCTACGTAAAATATGTTACAAATTGTAAATAAAACTAATTCATATTTTAAAATAATTATATCTACAGCTTTAAAACACGTACGTAATAACAAATAAATAAGATAGGAAATGTTTTTTTTCTATCGTGTCTCTATTTTTTTAAGCAGTGTATGTATTTAACTTGTGAATCAAAATAAGGGTATGTTTCTACTCTTTTTTTATTCAGACACTTAGCACTCGATTACACATACTAAATTAATCCAAAATAAACAAAATAGCAACTAAACTAAACCGTGGACAATTTAAATTTAAGCAGATTCCGATCCTGTTTCCGAACGTTTACGAAGAGCAGTAGAGGTTAGCCTCCGGTATTCAGTCGAAATGCCGTATTGCCGCCGCTGAAAAGCCGCTACTACCAATTGACTTGACACCTGGTATGATATGATGGAATGGTAAACGGGTAAAAAATAAATTGCCACATTAATTCGGAGAAATTTTTGTGTATTTCTTTTACCATTGTGTGTTTATTACTGTTTTGAGTTTTCTTTTAGATTATTAAATTATGAGATTTGACAATAATGTATACCGCAGGTTCCAAGTATGTATGCGCTGCTACTAACAGGTTCCTTGTTTGAGGTCACACTAACTTGTCTATTGGCGAGGTATGAAATTTACGAGAATATTCAATTTTCCAACGGAATTTGAGAGAACAAACTTGTAAAGCGCATTTCTGATCAAAGGTAGCCTCTGTATAAATATGGCAATTTTCATATTTAGAGAATAGAATATGCTCCACACGTCAAATTTTTAAAGTAAACATGTATTGATATTTACCCCAAAGAAATTCATTGTAGCTCCGTCCTTCTTAGCTCCATACTTGATGCCATGTTCTTGTGCATTTTTAACAAGACTTTCTACATCAGAGAAGAGCATATTAAAATTTTCCTCCCTGTAAAGTATTAGTGAAGCTATGTACATTGCTATCACTACTGCACAAAGAAACCACCACGCTGCCGCTATAATTCTACCTGGAATGGATCTGGAAAGTAGCAATTAATAGCAATGACAAAACCATATGAGAATAACATACTGACGTATTAGAAAATAAATAAGTAGAATCATAACATTTTTTTATTTTTTTGTGTTGCAAATATATCAATTTCTTCTAATCGTACCTTATTTTTACTCGAGTGTTTTGCCGAAGGAGACTTCCCGCAACAAACCAAACAGTGTTTGGGAAGGTCAGTTGACTAATGCTGTAATTCGAAGTAACGTTCAGTTTTTGCCATTCGCTGTTACATATTCTTCCAACGATAAACAAGCTTATTGATACCGTCACAAATGCTACGACTATTGCTACCCAAATCCCTGCAGAGAAAGGCCTAGCGAAGTAAAATAACTTTGGTGGCGTGGCCATCGGTTTTTGAAATAGGATGGTTATACCTGCAAGTTTAAAATGGAGGAAGTTGTACATCTTAGCGTTGGGTCCGTTGATCTTAAGGTCACAGACTTGGACGACTTCCGTTGAGATATCTAAGGCTTAGTGAATAATGGCAATGAAGTCGTTCCTTTGGAAAAATTCCATCTATTTATAAAATGTCAATAAATAGCAAAATGACTTCTTTCACTGAAATAATTGATGATGACGTACTGATTCGGCAGAAGCAGAGATGAGATAACTTCTCTGTAATAGAGGCAGAATCCCTGAAGTAGCAAATTTCATTAAACAGACTACTGCAGTTCTGCAGTTGTCTTTCCTTGCAGTAGAGAAGGTACCATAGATAATAGAAAGGTACTGTCAAAAACTGCCAACAGTGGTTAAGTGTAAAACTACAATACACTGGATTTAATCGCAACGAAACCTCATCGCAAATACCACACTATTGAAGAATCAAAAGCTGAAGTTGTATGAATATAAAAACAACTACTTGTGGATTTGCTTTGGCAGTTACTAAAAAAACACGTGTTATTTTAATCAAATCTTTAGAAAAATAAGTAACTACGCTATGTTCTAGCTACTTTCAGTGTAACGGATAACGAAGATTAAAATACGGACTGACATAATATATTATGTTAATTTTGCCGTTTTTGTATATAGTCCTGTAGCCAGGGGGTCCCAATTACCTCCTTCATTTAGATGGAGTTACCCAAATGTTTTTTGTGTATTTTGAGCTGCAGAACACGAATTTTTTGGGTAGAAGTTTGCCCGGAAAATTATTATACAAGTTTAAAAAATAATTATTAATAAATATAATATATAATAATAATATAAGTAAGTATAAACTTTTTTATTATCGTTTATAAATAAAACTAATATAATTTCACTTAATTTTTTTCATATAAATCGTATAATAATGTTTACAAAGCAAATTAGAATTAACCATGCAAACATTATATCTGATATTTCAAATTTTTCACGCCTTTTTAATGCATTTATTTTTAAAACTTGTCGCGCTTCAAAATTGCACTGAAGATGTTACAAGATGAATAGCTTAATTAAATCAGATCATTGCTTTATTTGTCAAAAAAAAATTAATTTTAATTATTGTAATATTGCAATTTTCATTAAATTGTTAATGTTTCTTTCAGTTTTCATCGGTTCTTTGATCTACAAATGAAGAGTACGCGTCAAGATCGTGAACTAAACGCCTGTACATGGCAGCGCACCCTTCTGAACGCTCAATCGCTATTTGTTTATAGCTTCAAATAACAGTGGAAAAAACAAATATTCACACTGCGGGTACTCATAATTTGTAGTATTTAACGTGAGCTTTCAAACGCCGTCAGCAGAATTATAAAATACATATTCAATCAAAAGTTATTAACAATTGAAAATCGCAAAATTTTCATTTTTCGAATTTTTAACGGCGCTTATCTCGAAAATTATGCGTTTAACAAAAAAATTGCAAGAGACATTTTCTTCTTAAAATGGGTCAAAGAAAAAGAAAATGCTTTTTATTTTGCCAAAAACTAAGTTCTCAGTATTTTGCAAGTTTTTTGTTAATAAAAAACTTATTGATATCCGGGCAAACTTCTACCCAAAAAATTCGTGTTCTGCAGCTCAAAATATACAAAAAACATTTGGGTAACTCCATGTAAATGAAGGAGGCAATTGGGACCCCCCCCCTGGCTACAGGACTAATAATTTTACTATAATTATCTGTCAGTTCAAAATCCTGTTACAATTCGGTAATGATGTCTGGAGACATCGAATCTATTTGGCTTCGAGGCTCTCCGCAATGCGCATTTCTTATGTGACGTAGGCAAGATGTAACTTTAATGGAATCACTTTCATAATTTTTTCTTACATTACAAAGAAAACTTTATCTGACCCTTAAACCAAAAAATGGAGGAAGAATGTTTAAGGCGACAGTGTAGACGAGTGACAGAGAGAGAAAGAGATAGTTTGGAAACTATCTTTCCCTCTCGCCCAGGCACGTGATTGACTAACGCCCCTCGAAGGGCGGGATACGGGATCTTTCCACTCTTCCTTAACGATTATAGAGAGAGAAAAAGAGTGAGTAAGTACCCACCCTTTCTCTCTACAGCGTCTACACTTTTTAACACTATGTAGTAATAGCTTTGTTTCTGCAGGAGTTCCAAATTGTTTTCAAACTATCAGATACACTCGACCACTTACATAATTATGTATACCTAAGGTGAAATATTTTGCGCCATCTGTCGCATGGAACAATAATTACAGTATACATAGGCATAGGCAATATATTTTACAAGAAATTCTTTTTTTTTTCTTTAACAGTTGGTTCATTCATTGAATTTTTGCTGTTCACCACAGATTATTCATTAATGGGAACACATTTTTAATAAAATCAGACGTTTCAGGCAAACAAAGAACATTCTATAACATGTTGAATATTTCGTATATTATTTTTAGTGCCACTGTATATTTTGAATGTCATGAACCGAATGAAAAATAATTAATTTTTTCTCTAATATTAAGGAAGGCATATGGGGAATATAGTGTACTACGAGTATATCATAATATGTATATATGTATCTAGAACTTACCAGTATGCATGATTGGATGTGTAAATTCCACAACATGTAATCTTTCGAATGTGACAGTGGCATCTGTTACTATTAAATCTGCTCTCTAAAACAGATAATTAAAAATTCAGAAAATTTTGTTCATATATGTTCGAGCTCGAATCTTACTAAATAAAGAAAAAGTCAAGCAAGTTAAAAATAATAAAATATGTCTAAGTCATTGAATTGAATAATGTAGGGCTTTTTTTAGACCTATTATAAAATCAAAGGACAAACGTTAACAATAATTAGACTTCGAACATTAACATCCATCTAAGATATCCAGTTTTGCAATTGAACAGTGTTTGGCAATTTGAGAAAATAGTCTATCTAAAAAAGAGAAACTGTTGAGTTTGATAAATGTTGTTAAAATACTGAAAAAAACTTGCAAGACACACATCTGTGAAAGAAAGTGAACTTTTGGTCGAAGCGTTTCGAAACTTTGTTTTCTTTTAATGCAGTATTTAATATATCGTCGTGAAGAATGATCTATTTCCTCAGTGTGATATATTTCTGTTAAGACAAAACTAAATTTATAAAATCAACTCCATTAATTACATTTTTTATAGGGAATTATTTTGTCAAAAACACAAAACAGTCCCCGCTGTTCATGATGTAATTAACCTACCTCCGATAGAATGTCTCCAATCAATCCTGTCCACCGTCCAGACCTTTGTGTACCAGTTCCCTGGTTTCCTATTACAATGATGTACTTAAAATTTAGTATTTTTGATATTTCTTCTATTAAATCTATGGCAAAACCTTGATATCTATCATTCCCTTGCAAGGCACTTACTGACGGTCTTTCCATAGCATAAGGTTCTGTCTACAGTGGAAAGGCTATTTGTCAAATATCATTTGAAAATGAATAGAAAGTGGTTTTAAATTGCGGATTAAGAACATATTTAATATTAATAGTTACCAGCGATGTAGCCACCACCAATGGCTTGCTTCTCCAGTCATCAACAACAGTTTCTTCATAACTTGGTTGTTCTGTGTATTTAAGCCCATTCGATGTGCTCCAAGTTCCAATTTGCATCATACCACCAGGCTTAAGCTTGTAAATGAATAATTCGAAAGTATTTCTATATCTATCGGATCCAAAGTTTATTTGTCCTGTTAATCCTGTGTAGGAACTCTGTGCAATAAAAAATATAACCGCTTTAATATACGTTAGAGAAATTAAGAATATGTTGAGGATACAAGAAGAATAAATGTCTAATGGAAAACTTTCCTATTTTAATATTTATTTAATTAAGCAATACATTAAAAATTGTTAGTTACTTTTGAAAGTAAAAATGTAGTTAGAGGTCTTTTAATATCTCATGAGCCGCGAAATGCCCGAAAGGCGTGGCGTATCCCCATATTTTTTCTAATAAGCACGTTGTGAAAACATTGACTCAGAACTAGACCATGTGCATCATTACAAGTAGACATGAACTAAGGCGCTCGGGCATCAATAAAGTCAACTGGCGAACGTTCGTTATATATATTTTTATTGTTTAAATTAAAATAATAAAGAATAGGGCATTTTATTATGATATTTGTAATCGGATCAAAGGCTTGTTTACGCTAGAGCTCGAGAGAGACTGTGAATAATAGGTGTAATGTTTTTAGGACGTAGAATAATTTAGACGACGGCGACGGTCGGAATTATGTTCCTGCGCATATGAAGGTCAAAGCTCATAAGATTTTAAAACATCTCTACTTGTAAATTCTTACTCCCCTTTATTGTTAATAGTAATCGAGGGCAAATGCAAACCTCAAAAAGTGGGAGATTTACTTAGCGAGCTGAGATATACACTGTGTCCAAAAATGATGGAACAAAATTCATATTTTTTTCCAGTTGAAATTTAAAAAATCGCTGAAACAATTTATAGAAATTGTCACTTTGCTGCAATGTTTTCTACTTTTTTGAGCTATGTTTGACAGACATTTTTTTTAATAGGATTCTCTATATTTTTTAGTATACAGCTCTTCTAAAGACGAAATCAGAGATATAAGGTTATACTTACTTTTTTGTCATAGTTGTCAAAAAATGGAGGAATTACATGAAAACAATAATTTAGTACTAGGTAGGTACTTTTTATTTTATTACAGCAAATGTTGAATGTGGCCCCCATTAACCATTGCACAGTGCCCAATTCTGTGTTGAAAGTTATCAATTACATTTTGAATAACATTTGGTGTTATGTTTCGAACTTCTTTGATACGACTTTTTAATCCTTCGATAGTGTATCTAGACTGTTCACATACACTTTGCTTTTTAGATTACCCCACAAAAGGGGTTAAGTCAGGGGAGCGTGGTGGCCATTCAAGCGGCCTTCATCTGCCTATACATCGATTTGGGAAAACTTCATTAAGGTAATTTCTTACATCGAGGCGAAAATATGGAGGGGCACCATCTTGTTGGAACCAGACATCACCAGCAAACATGTCGTGCTCATTAGGATTAGGAAAAATTAATTCCAAGGATGGAATCAGCTGAAAACGCAAAAATCCAAACAAATGTCATCTGTAAAATTTCCTCAAAGAAATAAGGTCCCAGTATGCGATTTCCTACTATTCCAGCCCAAGCATTCACTTTTTCCGGCCGTTGTATATTTTCTTCTTGCATTGCGGATTTTCTGGACTCCAAAACCTAGTATTTTGCCTGTTCATGGTTCCGTTTAAGCAAAAAGTTGCTTCGTCAGTGAAAATTATGTGATTTTTTAAGTTGGGTTGTCTTTCAAATTTTCTAATTTCCTCGCAAAACTGTAATCTGCTGTCTGTGTCTTCTGCCCATAGTTTTTGTAAGACGTTAACTTTGTACGGATATCACTTTTGATACATTAGAGTTCTGTGAACTGAGGACTTCGACAAGTTGAAGTTGGCTGATTGTAAGATAGATCTAACGGATCACTGAGGATTTTCAGTAACGGCGAACATCACATTTTGACGGTCATTTTCGAAATAATTTAACAACGAATGAATTGGAACTAAAACGATTCATGTTATACCTAAGTTACTCTAGTGAATTTTATGTGTTTATCGATATGTTTTTTTAAGAAAAAAAGCTTTAAAGTAAGTAGAAAAACATTAATAAATAGTATGTACGCTTTTTAAAGTATAGAAGAGACAATTGTTTGAAATAGTCGCCAGTACAACATAAAAGACAATTTTTCAATTTTTTATATTTTTTTGACAACTACGACAAAAAAGTGGGTTATAGAGCATCCTATTAAAAAAAAATGTCGGTAATGTTGTAGATCTGTCAAACATGGCTCAAAAAAAAAATAGAAAAGTGACAATTTCTATTTACTAATTGATTTGCTTCAGCGATTTTTTTTTGTTCCATCATTTTGAGACACAGTATCTTATTTTATTGCAGGGTACAGGTTAAACAGTAACACATAAAAGAACTACTGAAGATAATATGTACTTCTTATATGATTGTATCGTTTTTCCGACGAGAAATTAAAATTCTGCTAGAAAGATTGGGAAAAAGTAGTAGCTACCGATGGACAATACTTTCAGTGATATGTTTTTCACTATTTTTTTAAATAAAGCATTAATCTTCACAAAAAAACTGATACAACATCTCATTACAATTGAGTTAATATACAAATATTTAAGAAATATTTGATACACTGGTATAAGTTTATATCAGTTATACAGGGTGTGGCGTCTTTAATGCAGAAAATTAAAAACCTAGACTCTTGACAATAAATGAAGTAAAATAATATATGCTACCACAGGGTTCGTAGCGGCCGGGAAAATCGGGAATACCGGGAAAAGTCAGGGAATTTTTTATTCTTCATAAGAAACAGGGAATAGTCAGGGAATTTTAAAAATATTCATAAACGTCAGGGAATTTGATGTTTGCAACTGGAAATTTTGTGAATGCCCTGCGTTCTTGAAAGAGAAAACTATTTGTGGTTTTGAAACCTTTATAACAGGTTGTTAGGGTATAAAAAATATTATGGAGTCCAGTCGAGAAAAAATTTAATGCATAAACACCAATTAGTATGTAAAAATGAACTACAAGTGACCTGGATTTTTTTTCTAAGTCAGGGAAAACGTGGAAAAGTCAGGGAATTGTTTATTACCTTAAGCTTGTA